CACAGGGATGGGGGACGTTGGCACGGAGGTGGGTGACGACAGGCTGCCGCAGTGCCACCACTGGGGACCCCACCCCGACGCCCAGCCCTCTCCCCTCGCAGCGCTTCGCGGCGGTGCAGCGCCACGTGGAGCTGCTGCTGGTGGCCGATGCAGCCATGGCACAGTTCCACGGCGCCGAGTTGCAGCCGTACCTCCTGACGGTGTTGGCTGCAGCTGCCAGGACCTTCCAGCACGGCAGCCTGGGTGCTGAGGTGCACCTGAAGGTGACGAGGCTCCTGGTTTTGGGACCCGGCGCCCCAGGGCCGCCCGTCACCTCCAACGCCGCCCAAACGCTGCGTGACTTTTGCCGGTGGCAGAAGGACCTCAATGTCCCCGACGAGGACAGTCCCCTCCATTTCGACGTCGCCGTCCTCTTCACCCGGCAGGTGGGGGGGCGCAGGGCCGTTTTGGGTGACGGTTGGGTCCCTCGGCTCCCGTCCCCATGAGTTGGGTGCTGGGTGGGATCCTTGGATGCCCGCTGAGGTTTTGGGGTGACGGTTGGGATGCCCACGAGTTTGTGGGTTCTGGTAGGGTTGACCCAACCCCACCGAAGCAGCAGGAGCCCAGTGTGCCTCTGTGATGCTGGCTGGGCCCACTGGGTGCCCCGGGAGGTGGTCGGGTCCTCGGGGCGCCCATGGGTGGTTGGGTGCTGGGAGGGGCCCCCAAATCCCATCCCAAAGCGTTGGGTGCTGGGTGGGATCCCTTATACACACACCAAGGCAGCTGGGTGCTGGTTGGGTCCCCCCAAACCCCATCCCAAGCAGCTGGGTGTGGGATCCCGCTGGGATTTTGGGTGCTGGCAGGATCTCCAAGACCCACCTCAGGGAGTTTGGGTGCTGGCTGGGAGCCCTGGGTGCCCATTGGCCTCTGGGTGGCAGCAGGAAACCCCAAACCCACTGATGATGCTGGGTAGGACCCCACGATGACCACCAAGGTGTCCTCGGGATTTCAGGGTGCCCGCCGGGTTCTTGGGGCACCGATGGGTGTCAGGGTGCCCTGAGCCGCCCCTCAGCCCCGTGCTCCCCCCCCAGGACCTGTGTGGGGCGGCCACGTGCGACACGCTGGGGATGGCTGACGTGGGCACCGCCTGCGACCCCGAGCGGAGCTGTGCCATCGTGGAGGACGATGGGCTGCAGTCGGCCTTCACAGTTGCACACGAGCTGGGTGAGCGCCCAAAGGGGGCGAATGCAAGGCCCCCAAAATCCCCCCCAGTTTGCCCTAAACATCCCCAAAATGGCAACGCTCGCGTTGTGGCGCGGCTTCACATCTTCAGCTCTGTCCCCCGAAACGTTGCCCCAAACCTCCTTCAGATGGGCTCAAATTCTTCCCCACATCAACCCCCAAAAGGTGCCCTAAAACCTTCCCAAAATATCCCCCAAACGAGCCCCAAATGCACCCAGCCCATCCCTGCTGCTCACCCCCTGCTGCAGGTCACGTCTTCAGCACGAATGGCCCTGTCCTCAGAACGACCCCAAAATGTCCCCAGATGTCTCCTAAATCACCCCAAAACACCCCCCCAAAAAAGATCCTCGAAGGCTCCCTAAAACGCCCCTCAAAGCTCCCCACGAGAGACATCCCCCAAACCAGCCCCAAAATGTCCCTTGGAAAATCCCCCCC